GAAAAGAGAGGAAAAAAAGAAAAAGAAAAAAAAACTGGTGAACTTTATTTTCCCGGGAACCAAACAGGCTCCTTCTCCTTCCTTTCCTCTCTCTGATTCGACCAAAGATGTGCTTTTCCTCGTTGGCCTGTTTTGATCTTCTGTACTCTGTGATGAAAATGAAAAGAAATGAGAGAGACAGAGAGATTAAATAACAGCCGTCCAGATTCTAAGGCTCCTTTCTATTCGGATTTGAATCCGACGGTTATCAGAATCCGGATTGCTTTCGGCTTTGTTATGTCTCTTTTTATTTTTACTAGTTATTAACCCGCGCGCATCGCGCGGACTAAAAATACATATATTTTTTTCAAAATTAAATATTATATATTGTTTTGATTCTATATTTTATATTTTTAAATAAAATATACACTTCATTTTAAATACGAAGATAACTAAATGTTGTATTTTTTTCAAAGAGATAAATATGTTATGTGTTTAATTTTTATAAATTATAATATAGAATCAATGAATAAAATATAGAATATTAGAACAATATTCTCACAAATTTTATTACTTGACAAAATAGTTTTACTTTACGTGAATCCAAAGTATCTAAAAAAATATAATTATCGATAGCCTAATAAATATAATTTTAAACAATAATATAAATTTGGTTGATATTATAAATATAAAAATAATATATTTTGATTAATAAATATTTTTTAATAAAATATTAGCATAATATTAAACCTATGTAATGTCATCGGTAATCAAATTTGATGGATATTTATTTAATTTAATCAAATTAATGAATACAACACAAATACTATTAATATTTTATTTGTGAAGTCATTGTATTTTTTTAATACACTAAGATTTGGTTATTTTATACTTAACAAAAACATAACATTATGTCATATTTATATGTTATGTATATTTTATCAAAATAATAATGATTATAAAGTTCAGGTTTATTTTAGACTGAAAAATAAAGTTGAGGTTTTATTTGATAAAAAACAAAGTTTAGGTTTTATTTTGTGAAAATTGAAAAGTTCAGGTATTGTTTTGGGATATTCCCTAAATAAAAAAACCAAGATTATGCCATATTTATTTGATATGTATATTTTATAACAATAATATTGATTTAACAACCCGTATGAAATCAAACCACTTTTAATTTAAATAAATATAAATCGGAATCTCATTTATTCGAATATTTCATTTAGTTCGACATATATTTTATTAAATTTATTTCGTATTGTTATTATCATCTTAATTTGGTTTATTTGATCATCAATGTACCATTCTAAGATATTTGATTATACGATTAAGCAGTTGATGTGAGTTGAAGTTTCAAATAAAATGTCACATCTCAAACCGAGACACACTCTAATAGAACTCGTTCCGTATGACCTTTTATTCGAAGTATACACTTTAAGACCAAAATTGTTAAGTTTCTGCAAAATTATTAAAATAAAAATCCAATGACATCTAGAGAATCCTTACGTAATCAAACTAAAATTTTACATTACATCTCATCCAAATTTTAATAGTTTCTACAATTTCGTTGGACCCATTTGAAATTTATAAAAGTTAATGCAAATGTCAATAGAAAAACTACTTATCATATCTTGATAATTATCTTTATAATTGTTTCCATCTAATCAAATATATTAATTTGCTAGTCAACCAAAATAAAATAAAATGATATGGATAAATATACTTAGTTGTTATATAAATTATTTAAGTGGATAACAACCAATACTCAAATGTTTTCTTTGAAAATCACTCACTATAATATGATTTGTGATTAGACTCTTTATTTGTAATTCTAGTAACAAATAAATATTAAAAGTGATTAATCAATTATCTGTTCCGATCTCTCCATCCAAATTTTTATACTTTTTCAAATTTACGACCAAATATAAAATAATTAAATTCTATTTTTTTTCATGAACCTTTTGATTTTAACATTTTTTATGTTCACTTAATAAATAAAGTATTTAATGATAATTATTGTGTTTCGCAATATGAGAAACATAAATAAAATATTTTTTGGTTAAATTAGTCGGTTTATTTCAGATGATAGGAGCTGAATTTTAAATAAAACGTCAATTATCAAACTGAGTCAAACTGTAATAGGACTCGTCCGAGATAATATTTCACTCGAATTATATACTTCAATTTCTATTTCGATAAATCTCTGAAAAAACTTCAAAATAAAAACCTAATGACATTTCACATTATATATGATTTAAATCTTAATAATTTTTATGGTTTTCGTTATACTCATTTTAAATTTATAAGAGTTAACGGAAAAATTATTTATCATATCTTGACGATATTTGCCCAAAATTGAAATGATAATAGCCATAGTGAAATTTATATATTTATTTGATATTTTTAAATTGATATATTTTTTATTAATATTATAATATTTTGTATAATTTTACGTATTTTTGTAAAAAGTGAAAGATTTTTATTTTTTAATTAACAAATAAAAAACCTATATTAGAGAAAAATAATAATTGTTTTGAATAGAATTTTATTTAGATTATAAATATCTAAATAAATTTTTTGTAAAATAATTAATGGTATTATTAATTTTTTTATAAACAGTAAATAGTATTTTGTAATTATCAAGAACTGATAATTATATAATTTTAGAAAATAGAATAAATTTATAATGTTTGATAAATATAAATGGAATTTTTATAATAATTTCATATAGTAGTTCTTCACAATACCTACGGTTCTTTAAAACTTAGCTTTCATGTAAAATAGAAACAATAACCGCGTTGACAAATGAAAACCTATATTTTCCTAATCCAGGACCCAAATATTTATTATATCATGAAAATCAAAAGCAAAATTGGTATAATAAGAATAACAAAAACTAAATTTAACAAACTACATGTTGAATTAAATGAAAAGACCCAACTAATTAAGTAAAATTACTATCATTTTAATAATCTTGAAACCCACCAACTCGATCTCCATGAAAACCTCTCTTTCATCTTCTTCCTTTTTTTTCCTGTTGAAATTATCATCGGCAATGTCGTCCTCTTTCGTTTTCAAGTCATTCATCAGATCCACCAGACCCAATTTGTATCTGGTTCATCTCTTCCTCCGGAGCTTCGTTGTTTCTCCGCTCCCGTCGTTCAAATCGTCCTCCGTACTCGAACCCGGAAAAATCTGCGTAAGGGTCTCCCTGTATATCTGACTTCGTTATTGATTCCTTTTAATGTTGTTACCATTGTTTATCTGTAGCTACAAACTCATCTTCCAAAAACTCTCTATATCCATTTTCAGAGAAACGTTTGTGAACTAAAAACCAAAGTCATGAACTTTTCAATTTCAATCTTAGTTCAAAGTTCAGAGAGATCGAACATAACTCAGGTAAGACATTCCAGAATAGACAAAATCAAACATGAAAAATTCAAGGATAACATAAAATATTTGACAGAGAAGAATCAATTACAGAAAATTGAGGAATGGTTCTGATTACCTTTTGAAAAATCATGGGTTACAGGGAGAATTTCACTATTTTTGAAGCGGACCAAGCAATTGGACGCTGGAGAAACTCTTTTCGAGCGACCAAACCCACTTTCGCTTCCTATCTTCGTTCAATTTCGCAATCTCCATAGACAATTTTTTTTATATATATAAAAATTTAATTTAAATACATACAAAGAACCATAAAATCACATAGATAAATTAATTAACAAATTTAGATAAATGATAAGAGAATCAATATAAATATTTATCAAAATTTAAAAAGTAGTTGAACCGAACCAATTTCAATGTAGAAAAATTTGGTGAATACAATACAATGATTGAATGCATGTATCTTTATTTTTAATTAAAAATAGGTATATTAAAAACTCACTTTTACCCAAAAAACAAAAAATATTAAAAACCTATTGAAGAAAGCATCGTCTATTTTTTTAAAAATAATAATATATTTAATAAATGCAAAAATATAATTAGGAAAATTAAATATATATGGTTATTAGATATATGAACATCTGTATATAAATGTGTATATACAACAAAAATCTTTTATATTTTAATAGGAATTTTTAAATTAAATTAATGCATTAAATAGAGAGTCTATTTTGAAATAAAAAAAATTATTAAGTGTATGAAAAACAAACGTTTTCTCGACACAGGCAAATTATATGCATGCACGGCAAAATTTGAAACCAAATCCGCATAGAAACTTTTAAATACTAAAATACCGTTCAAGTATATTTTATATTTAAAAAGGGTACCCTTCAAATTATATATATAAACTTTTCCGTGTGGACCTACATCAATTTCTGTTTTATTTTTTTTTATCATATTTTTCTTTTTCTTTTTGCAAATGTTTCTGCTCTCCAAAGTTGAGAATAATAAACTCTTTTGGACCACTTTGTAAAACACATAATAATATTTCAAAAACCAAACACATGTTTATATATTAAATTTTAGTCACTAAAAAATAGATAAATAATTCTGTAAAGAAAAAAATATAACATACATATACGTACATTCCAAATGCGATTGACGCAATCAAAATGTAAGAAGTAGGATCAAAAGGATAAGAACAAAATATATTAAAACTAAAAACGGATTGCAAACCTGAATGAATTGGATTGGAGCATTAAACTCAAACGCCAAAATACTTGCATTGCGTACTGATGTTAACGAACATGAGAGTATGGACACTATTTATAGTTTACAATTAATTAATGGTTGTAGTTATTGTTCAATGAATTCAAAAACTAAATTAACTATTCATTAATAAAGTTATAATGGAGGAAGGCAACGTCAATTTTTGATAAATAGTTTTCTGAAAACTATAGTCATATTAATGCAATTATTTGAAAAACCTTTAAAATTCCAATTAAAGGCATAAAAACACGTGTCACCCTCCGGTGGAAAACTCTACTTTTATATATATAAGATTTTTATTTATGTTATAACTATTTCTAAACCAGGAATAATTTAAAACCATTCCCTGCATAAAATTAGGATAAAGTTACTAACTTGTTACAAAACAGTTGAAACAGGAAAACAATCATTAACTTCAATAACAAAAACCCACCCAATCACTCATGAAGGAAAAAAAAAAACAGATCTTTTCCATCTTCAGTCTGCAAATAACTGTCATGGCATGGCAGATTCCGACATGGAATCCAATCTGGAAACAAGGCGGAAACTAAAAGACCCAAAAGCTCAGAAGATGGCGACCAACATTTCCAGGTGGGTTTAGGATAAAGACCCAAACTTTGATTCCGCCATTATTACAACATGTGGAAGAGGGATACAGTTTTTGCGGCAAATGTAAAGGATAAAGGCGATGATGAAGAAACAAATAAAAAAAATCAAAAAGAAGAAAAAGAACTCAGGAAGATGAAAAGCGTATGAGATCTTAAAACGTCGTCGTCTGATCTGCAAAAAAAAAAACACAGGAAAAAAAAAAGTGTTGTCCCCCATGCTAGAAGAGACAGAAACAGAAAACAAGTTTAAACAAACCAGACAAAGATTTGCCCGCCAAGACAAAGTATCTCTAAGCTCACGAAACAGAGAGAAAGGAGCCATCTTTTTCAAATCTCCGACCAGATTCGCGTTCAGTAAGATGAACGGTCGAAACCCCCTTTTCTTCCCAGAAGAGGAAGCATCAGTTTCAGTTGTGCTGGATTCTCAGAACCATCCGACCATCCGTACTTCTCGAGCCATTCGCTCACGATGTTGCCCACGAAGAACGAAACACTCGAGGCCGAGATTGCTATGGTCGTGTAATACAACACGCTCTTGAGATAGGAACCTCTCGGTGTCTTGACGTGAGCTTTCGCTATGGCGAGTAAGATGACGCACACCAGAGATGCCGCAAGAACTGATACGGCTTTGTAGTCTCTGTTGTCTGATTTCCGGAACGAGAAACCGTACACAGCAGGAGGGATTAATCCGACGATAATGAAGGATAAGATTGCAACAGTAGCATGAAGCCTGAAGTTTTCTCTTCTTCCTAGTAGACGTTTGTACCGATCTTGTTCTTGTTCATCAATCTGGTTACCATCGGTTTCCGTCGTTCTGGTGTTATCTTCTCTAAGTTCTTGAAGCTGCAAATACGTATCTACATCAGTTCTCCCATTAAATAGCATGGCGATTACAATATGCAAATGGCCTATGAAGCTCAAACAGGCTGGCTCGGTTAGGACCATCTCGTTATTTTCTTGGCTTGGACCAGACCGGTCCGGCCCGGCCCGTTCTTAAACGGGCTAGAAAAAGCCAGCTCAGACAGTTCGCCAAGTTCGCGGACCAAGCTCGCCGGCTCGTGAGCTCAAACAAAATATAAAGCAAACACGATTTTCGTGCTAACATTTTGACAACAAAAAAGTCACATTTCAAGTCAATTCAACAAAATACGAACGAGTAATTTGCCTAATTTCAACACAAGCTATAAAACTAACAAAAAATCAAAACAAAACGGGATCATTTACGGTTCCATCAATTTTAGGGGTAAAATAGTAAATTTGAACAAAAAAGACTCGGGCTGGCTTGTGGCTCGTCCGGGCTAGCTCACAGGTCAGTTGACTCGTGGTGAGCTGGCTTGTTTGATCCGTTTTTAAATGGACTGAAAATATCTCGAACCAGCTCGCCTAAAAATGGCCTTGATCAGGGCCATTTGACATCTCTAATGAGGATTTAGGATAAGAGATTACTCACATTATGAACAATGAGGATTAGCCCACCAACCAAGTTTGCGAGCCCTAAAACCAAAATATTCACTGCAACCAAGAAGAAAGCATGTCAAGGTAGGTATTTACATAAAAAAAATCGTCTTTGTCGTTCACAAAAAAAATGGAACACAAGGACATAAGTGTACTTACAAGTTGAAGCACCAGATCCAGCTGCAGATGATATAACACCAAGGCTTGTAATGGATTCTATTAGACCTCCATATACAATACTTTTCAAGATTTCCAGTTTATGGCCATCCCCGACTTCCACGCGTGATGATGGCGTTAAGTTCTTGTCTCCGAGCAAAGCGTCCGTAAGGTTGTCATTACGATTCTCGGGGTGTTCAGTTTCGAGGTCTCCTCCATGATCAGAAACAATTTCTAAGTTGCCCCCTGCAAATGGGAACAAAACAGCTTAAGAAGAGTGATCATAACAACATAATGAAAAAGGAAGAAATCTCTGACATGGTTAAGGTTACCTGTGTCATTATCATTTGTAGCAGAAGAATCTGACTTTGCTGTCCAAGAATCGATCGGCTTTGAACCCTCGATCATAGGAAGCTTAGGATCTATGTTTATTTCAACGTGTCCAACGGTAACATTGCCAGATTCTTCCATTTTTTCATACGGTGGAATTGGCCAGAGACTTACTTTATCCGACGGCTTGTTCCCACTTGAGAGATTTTCATCCTTACCCGCTAAAGCAGCCAGAAACCCGAGCCCAGTGGCCTCTACTCCATCATCAACAGATTTGAGGGTAGTATCATTTGACTCTGTATCAACTTGTTTTTGATCTGGCAAATCATCGAGAAAGAATGATGAAGTTCTGGAAGTGAAGAACAAAATAAGAGAAGAAAGAGAAACCAGATGCTAAAAGGAATATGCTATTTCATGAAAGTAGGATTTCCACTAGACATGGGTCCAACCACTGAAGTGCTTGACTTAGTATGAAGACAACCATGAATCACATGGAAGGGACAGATTCTGATTGTGTCTCAGAATTAACAATTTTTTTTTTTCTGCAAAAACCTTCATGGATGAAAATTACAAGACACAAGCAAGAATGAGTTCCACTTTCTAGAAGGGCATGATGTTTTGCTTATCTGTGTTCTAGGGACATAACCCAAGATTCAGATGAGAATGTACCTCGAGTGAAAGCGGTGTCTACATGCTGAACAGGAACTCCGGTTTCCAACTGTTCATTCACATCAGAAGCTGTCCCGTTTTTTTCCGAAGAAGGTGGTAGGTTAACTCCAGAACCGCTGGCTGCTTCTCCACCTGCACCACAATATAATCAGTTCAATAATTACGCCGCCACCACGGCTGCATTCTAGAATTGTGTTACAGTAGTTTGTGAAATTGAATCGGATGTCTTCCCTTCGATTTTAAGTTTTTTTCTTACATGATCAACTATTGGAAAGGTTACAGTTGCTATTTCATTGAGATCTGTTTACACAATCAATGTACCTTGAGTCGAAGTGGTGGCACCACCATGAACATCTTCCCGAGCGTCAAGTGAAGCGTGGAGCTTATCCTGTGGGTCAACTTGAGGGGCAGTACCCCGTACGCCACCTGAAAATGGCGGTGCCATGATGAATACAGAAGGAGAGACAGAGCATTTGGATTCTTCTAAAACCAGAAGCAGCTATCGGGGTTTAGTACTGATGAATCGCCATTTAAGTATTTCAAAAAAGGGAACCTTTTTTGCCAATATGTGCTGATCGGTGAGATTGGAAGAGAGGGACAAAACAAGGTAATACCTTCCTCGAGAGCTGTCTCTTTCTTTTTATGGCCAAACAGCGAAAGGAACCAATTTGGCTTGTCTGCAGCCGCAGGCAGATGTTGAGAAAGTAACGGTGTCTCGTTCTCCTTAACCTCTTTGGTGGAAGGAAACCGCTTGAAACATTCTCCTGAAAGAATTTTCAAGGAAATGACAAGGCATATCCATGATGATGTGATACAGAAACATATGGCGTTGTTTTTTCTTTTACCATTTCCAAGTGTTTGATTAGATACCTGAAGGCAAAAATATGCTGAAGCATGACAAGCACCGTAATAGATAGGGTACATCGACGGGGTCTTGGGCAGGTGGCTCATTATCGCCTGAACGCATAGGATCCTCTGGAGTAATGTCCAGTCTCTCTCGCTTTGCATCTCCCAGAACGTGACGGATCTTCCTTTTCCTTCTCTTCAGGACAACCCTTTTTGTGATGCAAGAATTGCAGTTGGGACAGTACAGATCATGTGTTTCTTGATTCTCCAGCACCTTCTCCACGCCATAATCGTCTGCTTCAATGTCCACCTCATCTTCTATCACGTCCTCATCAAGTTGACCACCCACCTTGGGAACTTCAGACGAATCACTCGTCCCGATTTCCTCTATTTCACGGGATGGCTCATTGACTTCAGCAATCAAACCGTTTTCAGCATCTGGATTCAATTTTTCATCAGCCTGGAATTCGAGGGCATCAGTTTCTGCACCGCTAGCTCCATTTGACTCCAAACCTACCAAATAAATATCAAACGACCGATTAACTGGAAAGTCGGGAGAAAGCTTTCACATCCAAAAACACTATCAGCCACATTCATAGATGACAACATATGGATTAGACAGAAAATGCCAAGTCTTTAAACTAATTCCTGTTCCTGACCCCCCCCCCCCCCCCCTTTCACCAGACAAGCTAAGATAACAGAGAATCTGCAGAGAACATGGTTTCATAATCTGCTACTGAAAATGCAGATTGAGAAAACCCTGAACCCTAGACTAACCTTTGGATTCGAACCATAACACAGATTCCTCTCTGCAGGTCCAATCGCAGTGGTGACATTTCCAAATTCCTTCATTCACAAACAAGAAAGAAACACATGGGCACAACCGCTAAAAGACAAACTAATCGTCAAATCTACCC